GTTTCCAAATCTAAAAATGCATTTAAAAAGCCTACATTTGCAGACAATCCTAGAAGCCATCAGGAAATCTACGAGGAATTTCCTAGCATTGCAGCAGCTGCAAAGGAGACTTTTAGTAACTGATTTTTGCAATTCTGTAAGATGGAGACAACCCTGTGTTTTCTTTCTTCTGCAGATAAAGCCAAATTTGAATAACTTTATCTTTCCTGCTTACATTGGTAAGATCTTGAACATCTGGAAATGGAGCTATTGGAATTTCAAGAAAGCTCTATCTGGAAAAACAAATTCTATGACCTGCGTACAACACTTGAGAAGATAGAGGGTGACGGGATGACAAAGCACAGCACAGCTGGTAGTTCTGAAAATGCAATCCTTAAAGTGTGGAATTCTCAGCCAAATATTTTTAAATCAATGAAAGCACTTGGGATTGCTTTTCTTACTTTGTTTGGATCACCTTATGCTTGTGAGCAGCTCTTTCCAGCTTTGAATTATATCAAATCTGATACAAGAAACAGACTAACAGCTGAGAAAAGAGCAGAGGAGAAACGAGGATTTATGCGGAGCATTGAGATGTTTTCAGGTATCTCAGTCAGAAATCATTATAGATTAACCTGCTCTCTAAACAAACGAGTTATGGAGCATCCTGAAACAATTACGTCTCTCCTACAAATAAAGTTTCATTAGGTTTATTCTATTAACGCGCGCGCACTCTCAGCTGTGTGCCCGCCAAGGTCTCCTTCGTCCTGCTCCGAAGCACCTCCGTTCTCCTGGAATGCTGGGCCTTCATCCCGTCCGGCTGCACGGATGCAACTCCAGGCGCCTGCTCTTCCTGAAGCGCTGTCCACACCCCGGGCATTCGAGCTTCTCCCCGGAGTGAGTTCTGTGGTGCGCAGCCAGGAGCTGACGCCGCCTGAAGGTCTTTCCGCACTGCAGACAATGAAATGGATCTTCTGATGTTTCCCACATTCCCCACGTGAAAAGAAGCGCTTTCTTGGCTCCACACATTTAAACGGTTTTTTCCCCAACGTGGATGTTTTGATGGGATATCAAGTAGGCCTTGCTACTGAAGCTCTTTCCACACTCAAGACATGCATATGGTTTCTCCCCCGTGTGAACTGTCTGATGGCTAGCGAGATTTGAGCGCTGAGTGAAGCTCTTGCCACACTCCAAGCATTTATAGGGTTTCTTTCCTGTGTGGACTCTTTGATGAACAGCCAATAGATTCTTCGATCGAAAGGCCTTTCCACACTCGTGGCATTCAAAGGGTTTCTCCCCGGTGTGAATTCCTTGATGGTAAGCAAGGCCTGAGCTTTGACTGAAGCGCTTGCCACACTCCATACACTTGAATGGTCTCTCCCCCGTGTGGGTTCGTTCATGAGTGGCGAGGTGCCCTTTCCCACTGAAGCCCTTTCCACACTCTGAGCATTTAAATGGTTTCTCCTCTGTGTGAACCCTTTTATGTACATTAAGGTCTCCTTTTGCGCTGAACCCCTTTCCACACTCAAGGCACTGAAATGGTTTCTCCCCTGTGTGAATTTTGTGATGGCGAGCAAGATTTGGGCGCTGACTGAAGCTCTTGCCACACTCCAAGCATTTATAGGGTTTCTCTCCTGTGTGGACTCTTTGATGAACAATCAATAGACTCTTCAATCGAAAGGTCTTTCCACACTCAAGACATTCATATGGTTTCTCCCCCGTGTGAATTCTCTGATGGTGAGCAAGATGTGAGCGGTGAGTGAAGCTCTCGCCACACTCCAGACATCTATAGGGTTTCTCTCCTGTGTGGACTCTTTGATGATTAGTCAATTTTGCCTTGAATCGGAAGGTCTTCCCACACTCCTGGCACTCAAAGGGTTTCTCCCCCGTGTGAACTGTTTGGTGGCAAGTAAGGCCTGAGCTCTGACAGAAGCGCTTGCCACACTCCATACACTTGAATGGTCTCTCCCCCGTGTGGGTTCGTTCGTGAGTGGCGAGGTGCCCCTGCCAACCGAAGCGCTTTCCACACTCCTGGCATTCAAACGGTTTCTCCCCAGTGTGAATTCTTTCATGTCCATTAAAAGCTCCTTTTGTCCTGAACCTCTTTCCACACTCAAGACATTCATATGGTTTCTCCCTTGTGTGAATTCTCTGATGGCAAGCGAGATATGAGCGCTGCCTGAAGCTCTCGCCGCATTCCAAGCATTTATAGGGTTTTTCTCCTGTGTGGATTCTTTGATGATTAGTCAATACAGCCTTCCTTCGAAAGGTCTTTCCACACTCAAGGCACTCAAATGGTTTCTCCCCTGTGGGACGTCGTCGATGTGAAGCGGCACCCTGACGACGACTGAACATTCTCCACACTGCAGGCATTCAAAGGGTTTCTCCCCTGTG